TAAAGAAGCTTTTAGTGATGGTGTAACATCAATTAAGAAATCGCTTTTTCATGTTATATATGATATTGTAAATGCTCATATATCAGATGAAGAATTACAAAAAGCTCATTTAAAATTTCCACATTGTACTCCAAAAACAAAAGAAGCTCTTTATTACAGGTGTAATATTTATATATTGTTGCAATAGTTTTATATTTTATAAATTAATATTAGTATTTAATAAGCATATTAACATTTCAGAAAAATTTTTGAGAAATATTATGAAGGACAAGCTGAAAGTTTTGTACCATATTTTTGGATGCCACGATGGATAAAAGGAATTTCTGATCCATCCGCAAGATTTATTATACATTATGCAGCAGATGTAAAAAATAATCAAAAAGAAAATGAAACGAGATTAAAAGTATAAAAACTAAATAATTTAAATATATATATATATAAGTTTGTAATTACTTTATAAAAAAAATTGTAAAAATGTAATTTGTAAAAAAAACTGTATATTATATATTATTTATGTTGTAATACAATAAACATTTTAATAATAAGATATTTATGTAAATATATATGATTATTTTATTTTTATTAATTTTTTTATTAGATTTTTGTTATTAGAAATAATATATAATTTTTGTTATTATATAGAAATAATATTATAGAAAATAAACATTGTAAATATTATAAAAATATAAACATTGTAAAAAAAAAATTAAAACGTATAAATTACCCCTGGTGGGACTCGAACCCACAATCCCCGGTTTAGGAGACCGATGCCTTATCCATTAGGCCACAGGGGCTGTTGTATAAGTTTTCTTATATCTTTAAATTACTATACAATTAAAATTAGAAATAATTAAAAAATCATATTAATAAATATATATTATACAAATACTATTTTTTGACATTTATTATAATTATTTATATTTATTATTATAAATAAGTATATCACAAACTAATAAGAAACAATAATTAGATAATAGTAGATATTATTGCTAAATTCCAAGATGGTGACATGTATTTTATAGTAAAGTTACTGTATATTTTTTTCAACCTTAGAATGCAATTTAATTAATTAGTTGCAATTTAAATTGGATTAACAAAAATATATTCTGTAAAGTAAGTTAGAATATATGTAATATTCTATTTATTTTTAAAATAAGTTAAGTTTTAATAAAATTAATATTCATATAACTATATATATAATATATATATAATTAATATTCATAATAAATATATAGTAGAAATGAAAGATATTATATATTTATAAGTTCTATTTACTTTTTAAAATTTTGTAGATGATGTCAACAAGATATATTTCATTTATATCTGGAATAGTAATAGCCTCGTTAACTTGGACTTTTAGTTTATATCTTTATTCGAGACTATCTCAAAATACTAACACTGTCAATCCAACAATGATAGTGTTAGAAAATTCAAAATTAGGAAAAGAATTAGAATTTTATCATAATATATACACTAATAAAGATTTAAGATTGCATAATAATTTAATTATTCATCATAATAAAGAAAATGCAATACATAAAAATACTTATAATTTAAAAGGAAATAACTTTAAAAATAATGACAAAATGTTACAACAATTAGGATCTATATCAATAAAATCTGCTGTTACATTAGAACAAGGTATATTTAAAATATATTAAAAAATTAATTTTTAATTTTATATAATTATTTGTTTTAATTTCTCAATATATTATGTTTTAATGTTATTATTTATCAAATATTAATATCAAATATAATTATTTTTATTGAAATTTTATTTAATTTTTAAAGAATCAACCTAATTTCATTGAAGATTTATTTATAGGTTTAGATGAATTGGGAATGATTAAAAATTTAGATGATCAACGAAAACGAGATGAAGGATATAAAAATTATTCTTTTAATATATTAGTGTCAGATAATATTGGATTACATAGAGAATTACCAGATACAAGACACAAATTATGTGAAATACAAAAGTATTCTTCTAAATTATCAAATGCTAGTATTGTTATATGTTTTTATAATGAACATTACATGACTCTTTTAAGATCTTTACATTCCATTATTGATAGAACTCCTACATATCTTTTACATGAAATTATTTTAGTAAATGATTGGAGCGATAGCAAAATTTTACATGAAAAAATTAAAATATATATTGCTAATAATTTTAATGGTAAAGTGAAATATTTTAAAACTGAAAAACGAGAAGGTTTAATCAGAGCAAGAATATTTGGTGCAAGGAAAGCAACAGGAGAGATTTTAATTTTCCTAGATAGTCACATAGAAGTAAATAAACAATGGATAGAACCGCTTCTCTCACGAATTGTTTATTCAAAAACTATTACTGCTATGCCAGTTATTGATATTATTAATCCAGATACATTTCAATATACTGGTAGTCCTTTGGTAAGAGGTGGTTTTAATTGGGGATTACATTTTAAATGGGATAATGTACCAATTGGTACATTTGTGCATGATGAAGATTTTGTAAAGCCTATAAAGTAAGAATACATATATATGTATGTATATATATATATATATATATATTAGATATATTTAATTATAATAATATTCTGTTATGTACATGTTAGTAATTGTTACTAAATAGATCTCCAACAATGGCTGGAGGTTTGTTTGCAATGAATCGAGAATATTTTACAAAATTAGGAGAATATGATGCTGGTATGGATATCTGGGGTGGTGAAAATCTTGAAATATCATTTAGAGTAAGTTAATAATCATTTAATCATATATTGTTTAATTTAATAATAATTTGTAATAAATTTTTTTTTTCAGATTTGGATGTGTGGAGGAAGTATTGAATTAATACCATGTTCAAGAGTTGGACATGTATTCAGAAAAAGAAGACCATATGGAGCATATGATCAACATGATACAATGTTAAAAAATTCATTACGAGTAGCACATGTTTGGTTAGATGAATATAAAGATTACTTTTTACAAAATATTAAAAAAATTGATTATGGTGACATTACAGAAAGAATAAATTTGCGAAAGAGATTGGCATGTAAAAATTTTGCATGGTACTTAAAAGTAGTATATCCCGAATTAACTTTACCAGATGATAATAAAAATAGATTAAAAGATAAATGGGCAAAAATTGAACAGAAACCAATACAACCTTGGCACTCTAAAAAAAGAAATTATACTGATCAATATCAGATTAGATTATCTAATTCAACATTATGTATTCAAAGTGAGAAAGATATTAAAACAAAAGGTTCCAAACTTATTTTAGCACCATGTTTAAGAATTAAATCCCAGGTAATTAAATATAAATAATAATGTTCTTTAATTTGAATTGATATTGTTAATATTAGATTTTTAAAATTTTTTAAATTATTTCAATTTTTAGATGTGGTATGAAACTGATAAAAGAGAATTGGTACTTGGTCAAATGCTTTGTATGGAAGGAGCTGAGAAGATTCCAAAACTTGGAAAATGCCATGAGATGGGAGGCAACCAAGAATGGCATCATAAAAAAACTGTATTTATTAGTTTCTTGATATTTATAATTAATTATATATATATATTACATATATATTGAATAATCATATCTTCTTTAGAATAATACACCTATATATAATATGGCAGCTGGTACATGCTTGGGAATATTGCGAGGAGCAAAAGATATTCAAATTATAATGGATTTATGTACTAAATCAAATACAAATTCAATATCTTGGGATTTGGTACACTTTAAAATATTTTTAAAAGAAATTAGATGACATCAGATAAAATATATAAAATAAATATAGTTATAAAAACAACTAAAAGAGCAGCTCTCTAGATCAAAATAAAAGCAAAGAATTAAACTCATAAATTTTTATGGACATTTGTGATGTAAAATAGGTTATTGTAAAAATTTTAGAATTTTTATATTGTTTTTATACTATTTTACATTATAAGAATAAAATGATATGTGATTAGTGATCAAAATGTATAAAAATAATGAACGAACTTCTTTTTAAAAAATTTTAAATATATTTTAGTTAATTTTAAATATATATTTTCAAAGTAATGCAATGTTCATTATAATTAATATTTTTTTTAATCAAGAAAAGAAATTAATTTCTTTTAAAATAATATGTTACGTTTAAAGTATATGTTATAATCGTATATTTCTATTTGTATATATATGTTCATATCTTTGTATTCATTCTTTACAAATTAAATAAAATTAATATATATCCTTATATTATTTTATTATATAAGTATAATTTATAATTTTGAATAATATAATATTTATATAATTTAAATATTTTTTCAAATTCATGTTAAACAATATAAACATTAAAAAATATATATAATATATATGTGTAAAATATAATAATAATAATGATAAATATATATAATTTATATATATATATATTTCTATATATATTATTTTTATATAAAAATAAAAAAATCAAATTGTTTTGATTGATTATGTATTTTACTACATATTATATTAATATGTACAAGCAAATAAAACTTCAAATTTTAAAATAAATTTAAAAAAAATTTCTAGTATGTTTATTCTGAATATATAACAATGATTATGAATCCAACCGATCAATATCATTTATTTATTAAACATAATATAATATAGATATAAATATTGTTATTGAAATTTAAGAAAAGATTTTTTATTCTTGTTGATTTCGTTTTGATAATTAAATTAATAATTCATATATAAAAATTTTGTTTTCAGTCGATATTTCAGAATACGAAATACAAAATCCTATAAAATCACATATCTATTCTGCATGTTATCTATGATTGAATGTATAATATATAATATACATATGTGTATAATTACTTTATATATCAATATAATAATTAGTATTCAGTGTTCAACATATATTAAATATATTAATTCTTTTTAAAGAATTAATTATTATTGAAAGAAAAAAAAATTAATTTATATATAATCTTATAATATAAAATTTTATTAAAATACAACGATTAATAGCATAATTAAATTGAAGATATTGTAGTAAAAATAAAAATAAAAACAATAATTAAAATTCAAAAATTATTCAAATTAAGAATATTTGGTTATAATATTTGAAACTTATTTCAAAAATGACAACTTCAAAAGAATTAAATTTAGCTAGAAAAAGTCTTGTAGCCTCGCTTGGTGAAAATGCAAAAATGTAAAATATATATTTTAATTTTAAAAGTGAAATAAAAATTATAAATTTAAAATATTTGTATAATTTTAGTTATAAATAAAACATTAATTCAGAATTTCAAATAATTTTAAAATTATAATTGTTTCAATTTCTTATTTATTTCAATATTAATTTTTTATTTATTATAAAAAAAAATTCTTAATTTTCAAATATTATTTAAAAAATTTTATTTTGTTGACAGATACTTTGAAAAGATGAAGCTTTGGTTTCAAATGAAGGTGCTATTATAAAACTAATATTTTAAAAATTTATAATTATTAACATTATCATTTATAAAATGTTATAATTGTAGACAACGAAAGAAGAATTTGATTGTGAAGCACGAAATATTATGACAGAAGATCAAGTTCATCTTCATAATGAATTTCTTCTTTGTTTATTTAATAAAGTTAGAGGTTTAGCTGCTGCAACACCTACACGTAAATTAGATCGAGATAAAGCTATAAAAGAAAAGAGATTAAGATTAAAACGTAAATACAAAACTGATAAATCAAACTTTGAGGTATAAAATAATTATTAGTTTTTATATAATTAATGTTGGATATATAAATTATAATTTTTTTTATATTTGTTTTATATTTAGCCTGCAGATATGTATGTTGAAGTTTTAAGTCAAACATCATCACCTGTTGGAGATGAGCCTATTGGAGCCAATCGTTCTAGTGCTCAAGAACTTGTTTTGCCAGATAGAACTTTTGTTTTAGCAAGATTAATGTTAGCAGCATGGGAAAATAATATGGATGGAGCAGAAGAAAATACTGCACATATAGTTATTGCAGCTACACAGATTTTTTTAAAAAATATACTTACAGCAATATTTACAAGAAGAAAAGGATATGCTATTAGAGATGGTTCATTTATTTATAATATTGGAGAACCAGTACCTAGTTCATGGAAAAGAAATTCTACTCATATATTAAAATCATCAGAGTATACTGCAACAGAAATAATAGATCCTTATGGTCAAGTCCCTATGATAAAACCAATATTGAAGAAGCAGAACAAGCTACAGCTTTTGCTTATGCATGTTCTCCACAAATTATTCCACCTTCATTAAAACCTGTTAATACAGCTGATTTACAATATACACTAAAGGTAAAAAAAAATTATAATTATTAAAATTATTTAAATATATAATATGTAATATTTTATAGTTTTAATATCTTTTTATTTTATATAGATTTATAAAAATCTTGTTAGCAATCATACTATATATGCAACTAATATGGAACGTTTATTTACATATTCTACACATCCAACATGGGAAGATCTTGAAGCTAAGAAATTATCATGTCATCAATATATAATATAAATAACTTGTTCTTATATAAATAGATTACACTTTAAAATAATTATTTAAAATATATATAAACTAAAGATTTAGATTTATATTTTGTAATAAAATATACTTTGTTAATAAAATAAATTGTAAATTAATTAAGATAATAATTATAATCTTTTCAATATTTTTTTTCACAAATTTTATGTTTATTTTCTTAACTATAAATATTTTTTTACTATTTTATTATTAACATGATACACTATGGATTAAAAATATGATTAAATTTGATTAAATTTGAAAAAATATGATTAAGATGAATATATTTGTCTAGAGATTTATAAAATATATAAAAATTTGATATATTATGTAATATGAATGAAAATCGAGTTTATTTTATAAGGTTTTATTTTCAATTATTTATATTTTTATAAAGTTTAAAATATGTATTTAGTCTTAAGAATGATATGAGATATTTTCACATTATTTTTATTTACATTCTAATTTGAAATTTTCCAGCTTTAGTAATATATTTAACGCCTTTGAATGGTTTATATTTTTCTCCATACATATCTAATCGATTAACTTTTAAACCAGAAACTGCTAATTGATTGATTGTAAAATGAACCTAAAATAAAATAATTTTTTAACTTTATTCTATGAAATAATAATGTAAAATATGAAATATCCATACATTAATTGCAGGATTAGATTCCATTGTACTTGCAGAATTTTGAACAGTAATCTAAAAAATTATTTTTTTGTAATTTCTGCATATTTCTTTAAATTTCAAAAGATATAATTTATATTTTATTATTATTATATTATTATTATTATATTTTATTATTATACCGAGCCTCTTAAATTAGGTAGTTTAGAAACATCTATTCTTCCAATATCCCATAATAGTATTTTGCTAACAGGGTCAAATGAATATTTTCCTTGATTTGGAGTCAGTGTACAATTTAAAACTATTTTTGGCATAGGAATTTCTAATGTTACATTTTCCACCTAAAATATATGTAATGTTTTTTAAATTTATATTAATTTTCATATTTTAATATAGAAATAAAATATACATACAGTTCTGCCAATGGTTTGTTTTGGTCCAACAGTTATATCTAATCTGCCACCTCCTAATTCTTTAAGGCTTATATTATGCCTTACATATATTGGAATTGCCACAATACTTTGTGATCCTATATGATAAGAAAGAAGACGAAAATTACCATCTGGTGGAATAAAAGAAAGTATTCGTTCAGACTGAAAAAAAAAGTTTTGTTAATAAATTAATAAATTTAAATATTTACTTATTCTTACCTCCCATCGTTTGAATCTAACACAAGGATGAAAACTAACATCATCAAATAATCTAGGATTCATGAAGGAAAGTGTTAAATCTGGCATACCACTTAATTTTATACAACAGTCAATCTATAATTTAAACAATATATTGCAAATATTCTTATCAATATATAATTAATATTTTTAAAATTTATTAATATTAATAACATTAGACAAAAAACATACATAGCCTTGAATTTCTGCAAATACAGTTGCACCAGTTCTATCAATAATAGCATCAACTTCTTCCACAACATCAAAGTATGCTTCATTATTTGTATATTTAACACCAGTACGTCTCCAAGGAACATTAGATAATTGTCCACTTGGTAATGTTGCACTAACACTATATATTTATACATATATAGAATTAAATATAACTTATAATTTTTATATTTTCATTTAAATATATTTAGTTAACATACTTAGATTTTCCTGTAACAGTATTCGCAATAGTTCTTAATATATTTGGTGGTTTAATAAGTTCTTTCAAGATATTAGATTCTGTGGCTAATGGAAAACCATTGTCCAACATTTCATCCAATAATTCATAAACAACCACATAATTTTCTTTTATAATAGTTTCTGTACATTCACTAAAATAATCTTCAAAAGTATCTACTACTCTATGTAAAAATTCTATTACGAATAATGGTGGAACTAATACAAAAATGTAAAACAAAAATAATATTTAGAATAGAATTTGTAATTAATATAATTTTTCATTTATATTTTAATAAATACCTTCCGTCATACATACTGCAACAAAAAACATATTACAACGATATATACTAATAAGATAATGATGAGGTGTAGCTATTACAGGTGGTGTATCTTCAGGAGATAAAACTCTCCTTTGTTGATCAAAAAAATAGTCACATAATGATCGTGCCACGGCACTTTTCCAATGCTTTTCCATAAAAACATCTCTAAGAATAATATTAATAGATATTAATATTTAATTTTATTTAAATTAGAATTAAAAACTACTAAAATAAAAAATTAAAAATATGAAATATTTTTTAAATATGAATAAAAACTTTGAATACCATACAATAAACATATACTATATATTATAACAAAATCATATAGACATTTAACCAAATACTTATAAAATATTAAATATACATTTTTCTTTTGATTTATGCTTACCCTGACGAATTAATAATAAAAAGACTATGTATCATTTTTTATAAGAAATTATTTTACACAAACCAATAATGTTTTAAAATATTTAAAATTATTTGTCAATTTTATATTTGATATTCTACATATACTTGACATATGGTTCTGTATTTACAAATTATACTAACACTCGTGCATCATGAACCTATATTTATAAGCTGCATGCTGCATGTAACGAAGAAGATAGCTAAATGCAGAAAAAGATATTTTTATCAGTGAAATCTTGGCGTAAAATAAGCATGAATAATAAAATACATAATAATCAATTAGTATAATAAATAAATATAATATTTAAAAATTAATTAAAAATAAACTGATTACAATTTTTATAAAATTTGATTACGATAAAATAATTATTAATTATCTTTTATTTTAAATTTGTACTTTCATTATTATTAATTCGATAATGGAAGAAATTACAAGTTGGAAGGATATAGAAAACGATGGTAATTAACATATGTTATATATTATTTACATGTCATTCTTTTAATTATAAAATTGAAAATATTCTTTTAAGTGTTAATATTTTTTCAGACTTTTTTAAACAATTTTTTAATGATGAATCTAAGATGAATGATATTAATCAAATGCTATCAGTAGCACAACAAATAAATAAATTAGGACAGGGTAAATAAAAAAATTATTTCTCATTTCACATCACAATATTATAATATATATAATATTACATATTATATATTTTTTTGCCATAGCTATTGAAATCTTGAACACAGAATTACAAAAACAAGTATTAGCTAATCATGAAGATTTATTATCACAAGCAACTTGGGTAGAAAAATTAGAAAGTGTACTTTCAATAATGCAATTACATGTTCAGGTATGCATGTAATATAAATGCATTCTTAAATATGAAAAAAAATATAAATTATTTTGAATGAAAAATATATTTTATTTAATTATTATTAGTTATTATACATATATTCATTATTGATATAGATATTAATAAAAATTTATATTTTAGAGTCTTTTGTCAGCTGTAGAACGTTTACGTGGAAAAATTATTGATCCTTTCAATAGAATTGAGACTCAGACAATTGTCTTAGCAAGACTTCATGAAACTTCTGATTTGTTACGAAGAGTAGCCAGAATGCAACATTTATCAAAACGTTTATGTTCTCAAATGACAAATAACATGCAAGGTCCAGATATTATAAAAGCTGCAAATAGTCTTCATGAACTTGGTATTAATTTATTTATAATTTTTATTTCATGACATTGTAAAATATGTTTATAAGAGAAATATAATAATCTAAACTTATAGAACATTTGATGATGGATACAGATTTAAATGGATTAGATGTTATTGCTGATGATCAACAAGTTGTAAAATCTCATAGAACAACAGTACAGAGAATAGCAACTCATACTTTAGCTCAAGGATTACAAACAATGGATAGAACTAAAGTATATAAATATATATTTTGTATTAATTAGATATTATTATCTTTTATAATTATTAATTATAATTTGCAAATAGATTAGTACAGCTGTACAAGTATTTCAAAATCTGAGAATTGTAAATGGAGCTATAGATAATGTTATAGATACTGCCTTATCTGAAATAGAAAAAATTGCTACAGAATCATTAGATGTAACTTTAACAACAAATCAAGATCTTGGAAAAAGAGCAGCACCTGGACGTGCTGCTATTCCTTCTCCAGGATCTTCTGGAAATTTACGCACTCGAATTTGGGAAAATCTTGAAAGACTTTTTCAAGATACTCTTTATACATATTGTTTACAAGTAATTAATAAAAAAATTATTTTACATTTTTTTGAATTCTACTTAATCATAAAGAATATTATATCTTCAATTGTATTGTTACAATGCATTATCAGTTGTATTATGTATATTTTATTTTAGATTGAATTATTACAAAGAATACTATTAGAACATCATACAAAGGGATTAGATGAATTATCACAAAAATTTTGGAATAGTGTGAATTGTCTACTTTCAAAAGTATTAATTGAACGTACACAAGGTAAATATCAATCATATTAATTTTTTAATGAAAAATTTATCTTATTTATATTTTAAGGATCATCATTTGTAAAACAAGCATTAGAAGGCGAATATCCAAAATTTTTAAGAATATTTCTTGATTTGAGAAAACGTTTAAAGGAGCGATCACAGAGTATTGGTATTTACAAAATTAAGTAAATAGAAAAATATTTAATCAGATTTATTATCTAGCTTACTTTATGTAATGCAATAATATATTTATATTTTTTTAGTCATGATATATTATTACCATTTGAAAATGCATATTTATCTCGATCAGTATCACGTTTATTAGATCCAGTACACACTATGTTTTCTGGAGAAGGATTACCAACACAAGATGAAATTGATGGTCTTATACGAACAATAACAAAGTAACTTAAAATAATACATATATTCAGATTCAACTATAGCTTAACTCAATAGATAATCACACTTTATAATTATTATAACTGTTATATTATATCAATATTAATATCAAACTTCATTACAGTGAATTAAGTGTGTCATTGGTTGATGATGGTCTTTCAACAGTAGTTGCTCGTAATGTAGGAAAAGCTATAAGATTATTTTGCTTAAAATGTGAACAAGGATTACTTGTGGGTGGAGAAGCTAGTCAAGTAATCGATTCTCCAACCACTGTTCAGCAGACAAATGTATCTCTTGCAAACCTACTCTATTATCTTTCTACTCAAATAACTCGTGTAATAGCAAATTTATCTGGTCTCCCATCTGAAGGAAGTTCAATAATTTTTATAGCTCTTAAAGAAATAGATTTATTAACAAAAAATATATTATCGCCATTATTGGCTTCAATTAATGATGCGATTGAAAGTATTATTTTAACTATGCATGATGATGCAGAATTTCGAGAGTAAGTGAATATGTTATTATTTTAAATAAAAGATTAATTTAAATATATATATATTTTTCTTTTATACAGTCCAAGTAGCCCATTAGGCAAAGAAATTAATTGCTCACTCTATATGCGTGAATTGCAAGGATTTATTTTACGTTCTGTAAATACATTTCTTATTCCATATAAAAATCAAACAGTAGTTGCTGAATGGTAATCAAAAAAATTATTACAATTTTTATATTATATTCTAAATGTAATACAGAAATTGTTTTTTTAGTTGTAAATCTGTTGCTTCGCGTTGTATTGAACTTTTTGTAAGACATGCTTGTTTATTAAGACCATTAACTGATTTTGGAAAAGCTAAACTCATTATTGATTTTAGTCAGGTATGTTAAAATATATAGAAAATTGAAATTATATATTATATTTAAGTTTAAATTTTTTATTTTTTATTTTTAGATAGAAATAGCTGTTGCTTTATTATGTAGAGGAGGACAATTGGGATCATCAGAACAACAACAGTATAGAACATTGCGAGCATTAAAAGCATTGCTTCCACTTAATGCAGATGAAATTGTACAAAAGGTTTTAGAAGGAGAAGGAGATTGTGGCGTACCTCCTTCTCTTGTTCTTTTACATTTATTTTCTATTGCTCCATCTGAATTAGAATCTCCACATCAGGTATGAAAATATACATATATATATATTTATTATATATTTTTTCATTATTAATTCATTGATTGTTATTAATATAGAGTACAGGTTGGTCTGTAAGCCGTTTATCTCAGTGGATGGATAAGCATCCAAATGAAAGAGATCGATTAGCTTTTTGTAGTGGATCATTAGAACGTTATCAATTAACAGTTAGACAACAGAATCTTCCAACATTCCATCCATTATTTCCATTAATGAAAAAATTAGTCAATTTAAATGAACAAAATTTGTGAAATTTATACTACATAAAAAATACATATATGAATTTTAATAACTATTTTCTATATTCATAAAAAATAATATTATTGACAAATAATTTATTAGTGAAATTGAAAAAAGAAAAAATACTAAAAAAAATTATATATAAAAATTTTAAATAAATACAATTGTATTTTTAATGATGTATCAATTTTTGAATGCAAATTGTTTTAGATATATAAACTCCCATAATTAATGTAATACTTAAAAACATAAGCCAATTTATTTTATATTTTTTTGGACCAATATATGCTGCTGGCATACCAATATCATTACTTTTTTCTTGAATCTATATTAATAAAATATATGTTATCATTTAATTTGAATGTATTTGAATGTACTAAATAGTATCTTATAATACCTTACCTTTTTAGAAAGTATTTTTACTTGTACAAGTTCTTTTTTCAAAGAACTAAGAATTTTTTGAGTCTTTTTAAGTTCTTGCTTATAATTAGATATTTGTTTTTTAGTTAAATATATGTTTTCATTATTTGCTTTTAATAAACTATTTTTAATATACTGAAAACTAGAACCAATAATAGCAATTTGTTTAGATACTATACCTAATGAAACTACACCATCATACAATCTGAAAAATAAATATACAATCAAATTTTTATTATTAAATTTTAAAAATTATAGTATTATGAAATAAATAACGTACGTATAAGGTAATGATTTATTGATAATACCAATACTTTGTATACTCCATTTTTTCCTATGAAATTTATGAAGACATTCCATAAATTGAATTCTATGTACATTAATATCCATTCCTAAATGATATAAATCGTTTTCAGTTAACATTAAAAATTCTGTAAGTTTTATTCCTTGAAAAATATAAGTATATTGTTCTAAACCCATTCCATGTAAAATTGTAAATATATCAAAATCTACAGTTTGATTATTTATGTTAATTAACGATGGAAACATATCTTTCCAATCACATATTTTAGATATTTGATAAGTAGGTACCATTTCTGCTTCATCAAAGTTCAATAATGATGATATCTATAATGGTGTATTTTTAAAAATATTTGTAAAATTTGTAAAAATTGTATTTTATAAAAATATTGCATTTTACAATAAGATACCATATTTTAACTTACTTTATCATATCCTTTCATAGAAGCTATGTCATTTGCAGTTAAATCATTGAAGTCAGTTAATGTGATATCTGCTCTATTTTCTATTAATATTTTGACTATTTCTGGTTTATTAGCTATTGTTGCATACATCAATGCCTATAAAAAATAAATTATTTATAATTTTATTGCTATTATAAAAGATTGCTATGATTGTTAAAAGAATTTACAGTTTGTTTTCTATTGTCATATGCATTAATATTTTTTACATATTTAATTAATTCTAGTACAAATTTTAATTCTTGTGACATACAAGCATACATTAGAGGGGTTTGTCTGTAAAATATTAAATAATTATAAAAATGATTAAAACATCAATATATTGTCTGGAAAATACGAGATATAGTTAATACCTTTGTTTATTGCTTGCATTTACATTAGCACCTGCTTCAATTAATATTGTTAAACATTTTATACGTTGTTCTATTGTTCCTTTATTAGAACTGCATAATGCCATTAATGGTGTATAACCATCTAAAATTTTATATTATCATTACATTATAAAAAATAATAAAAAACGTATTCAAATTGAAAATATAAAAACCTTTATGCTTATTGACATCAGCTTTATTGTTTACAAGATATTTAATAACTTCTAATTGTGCACTAGATGTAGCATACAGAAGTGGAGTCCATCCATTGTATAAAAATTTATTTATATCATATGCTATATATAATTGCATAAAATTATTTACAAAATATATTCAAAATATATTTCAAATTAAAATATTTTAAATTATTATAATATAATATTTATATATATTTATATTCATATTTAGTATATAAATATAGTATATATATTATTTAATATTTAAAATATTATTATCTTAAAATTTATAATAAAATATTATAATTTATATAATTAATATAAAGAATAATTACATTCAAGATATTCATTAATAATTTCTAATTGACCCATTGTACATGCATTCATTATACGATATTCAATCACTTTTTCCTCATCAATATCCATATCTTTATATTGATAAAATATTTCGTTTTTCAATACTAAACTTTTTTGTACATAAGTACAATTGTTTCTATGTAATACGAAATATAAAATATTAAATATCTTGTTATTGAATAAAATTTTATTTCAGATTAATACAACATTAATTATCGTAATAGACAAATATTAAAATACTGATTAAAACTTATATATTTCTTCAGAAAAAATATTATCACTTTTCATTTTGCTATAAAAAATTTGAATAATTCTTATACATGTTATTTATTATTTTATTAATACTATAATGATATATAATTACAATACTATAATAATATATAAGGTTATATATTTTTAACTTAACTATACAGTCTTAACTATATGTTCGAAAATGATTTAAATTTTATGTGCATATACTATGAAATACCATTAAACATATATTATTATGAAATATATTATTATTAATAATCGAAAGAAATGCCAAATCTGGTTGATTTCAGTAAATTTAACATTTAAAAAAAATACGCTCTTTACATTGATTATCGCATCTCTAGATAATATCTTTAATACTGGGTATCTGTGAAAATAAATGTACTTGGCGTTCTATTTTGATCTTGTGACTTTTTGATATTCAATTTAGCAACAATACTATATATAATTTATATTAACTCAATTTAATTTTTAATATATGATGAAAATAAATTTAATTAACCAGAATTCGAATTTTTACTATGTTTATATTGTGATTTCCCTCAATTCGGTGAAATATTTGTTTATAATAATATGTATTTTCATCGAAAATGAATGAAAAAATTATAGCAGAGTGCAATAACATATATAATTTGGCAAAATGTGATATATTTATATTAATTAATTTTTATATTATTTATGTCTAGCATAATTATATAGTGATAAAATATTAAAATCTAAAATAAAAATTTTTAATACATATAATTTATTGATTATGTATAAATTACATAGGAGATAAATACATTTTTTTAAAAATAAGCAATTGAATTTTATTACTATTCTTAAATTTTAAAAATGAAAAATATATAAATATATAAATAGTTATAATAATATCTAAATAATAATATCTTAATTAATTAATTTTATAATAAATTTTATAAATTTATTAATAAGAAGTGATTAATTATTCACAAAATATTATATAAACATAGCATTAAATAAATAAATGTATCAAAATTTAAGAAAGTAATAAGATATGTAAAAAATATACAATATTATATTTAATATATATTATACGTTTATATAATATATTTATCTATATATGAAAGAAGAAACAACGAATTTGCATCTATTATTTATTATCTTGCTTAATCTTTAAGTGTCAGTTATCTATTTATTGGACACTTGCTAAAAATTTAATTGTAGGTTATCCATTTATATTTCGTACTGCTTAACCTATGTTAGTCATCTGATATCTGATACAGAATCCGGTTGTAAATTTTTTCTTATTTATAATTTATATTGTTAAATTAACAATTTTATGTATGTTTAAGAATTTATCTAATAGTAAGTAAAATATATAATTCATAAGTAACTACATAATATATTCAAATAATATTTATCATTAAAATAATATTTTTATAATTATTTAAATATAAATATTATATTATACAACATTGTACAATTTTATTTAATATTAATAACAAAAATACAAATTTCATCTTGAACATTAAAAATTAACAATGAAGAAAAAATATAAAAAAACATTCAAAATTAAAAAAAATATTACAAAAAAAATTTTTTTTAAATATTCAGATTGAATAATTGATTAAAATCGCGTGCATTTATAATCTATTTGAATTTTATTAGATGCATCGATCTATACTCGTGGCATTTGACTTTGATCATACGATTACCGATGATAATACTGATATCGTGGCTCGAAACCTGTTACCTAAGGAAAAAATAACAGACAACGTGAAGAATTTGTATCGTTCTAGTGGTTGGATCGCATATATGACAAAAATATTTGAATTGCTCCATAGTAATTCCATCGATATAAAACAAATCAAAACTGCTATCGTTAATATACCTCCTGTATCGGGTATTGAAACTCTATTAAAAGAATTATATGTTCGAGGGTACGAAATTATTATTATTAGTGATTCAAATACATTCTTTATTAATGAATGGTTAAAAAACAGAAATTTAAATAATATTATTACTCAAATATTCACAAATCCTGCATACGTCGGTGATGATGGTATGATAAAATTAGACATGTACCATGTTCAAAATTCTTGCAAATTGAGCACTGTTAATTTATGTAAAGGACAAATTTTGGAAGATTATATTAAAAAAAGAAACAATGAAAACGTATATTTTGATCGAATAATATACATCGGAGATGGAAAAAATGATTTGTGTCCTATTTTACGACTTTCGGAACGTGATATCGCATTTCCGCGAGAAGATTATGTACTTATGAAAATATTAAATAGTACTGAAAATAATCAGATTCCAAAAATAAATGCACGTATATTTCCATGGAACGATGGTATACAAATTTTAAAAAAATTAGAGGAAGAAATTGGATTTTCTTAATCTTTTTTATAATTTAAAGAGTAGTATGAATAAAATGTTCATATTCTTCTTATATCAATTAAAGATCAAATAAGTCAATAGGTTAAAATATTTATACTATTATTAGTAATTAATATGTGATTGATCTTACGATTTTCTTCAAAAATAATATATATATATACATATGACTTCTCTTTTTCTCTTTTTTCTTTTTTTTTCCATATTGTTTTAATTTGATAGAAAATTTTGACGACATAATACACAAAATAAAAATAAAATAAAATAATAATAAAGATTCAATTATATTTAATGATACTATTGTGTACTATTTAATATATCTTTTTATGTAAACATCATTCTGTGTATTTTATATAATGAAATTATATTATTTATATATGCAATGTATGCGATTTAAAATTAAAATTTTAATTATTTAGTAAGAAAAAGATTCATATGAAATTTTATAATTATTATTTATAAATATGTATAATTCAAATATGATAAACAATATAATTTAATAATGATTGAATTATGTTAAAAATATTTTTCAAAAGATTACTTTTAATACAAAGTGAAAATTTAAATTATATATAAAATGTAAAAACAAAAATAAATTAATTTATTATATAGAAAATAGAATATTTTCTGAAGTTCTTAACTTGAAAAAGTTAAATTTTATAATAATGGAATAAAGTATGATTATTTTAGTTTTTTTCAATACTTAATTTTAATATGCGCGCGCATTGTTGAAGTTAGGTTAAAGTTATGACGTACTCGATATGTGCAATGTAGTTGCGCGTCTCTAACATTAATTATTGTCTTATTATTGCTTACGGGCGTCGGCAAAAAATTTATTTTTGTTTTAAATATATTTTATTATAAAACAGAAAAATATGAATCATTAACTATAATTTAAAGTTGAAATTTTTATTTACGATACAAAGTAACAGTATATGAACTACAAATTAGTGTTTTAGCTTTGGTAAGAAACTTTAGACTCGCATAAAATTGTATACTGAATTATAATTATGAAACAATAATCAATTAAAACATAGCAGAGATAAAACTATTTATTTTTCAACAATGTAATATATATTATATTATATGAAAAAAATTTGATAAAATAATATTTTAATTAAATTTAGATAATTTCACTTAAGATCTAATAAAAAGCATTATAACGCCATTTATATGCATAACCAAAAATATATACTATATATAATTTTTAATATAAAATTATATATAATAAAATGTTTTTAATCATTTAAATAATTAAATATAGTTCAGATTTATGTAATAGGATGAATACTATTTGTTTTTTTATTGTTCATATTCTTCTCTTGAAGTTTTATCATTTTAAGATTAAAGATATTCCGTAAAGTATTAAATGAAATACCTGTTAAATATGTTATATTTAATAACCATTCTGGTATGTATAAAACTGTAAATACTTTTATTAAATATTCAAAAACTAAAGGTGTCCATAATAATATTCCACAAAGTAAAGACATTTTAATATTATTAAAAAGATGTAAAATGTTTTCTATTTGATGTATCGTGTTTAATTGTATTTTTTTCTCATGAAATGAAATATTTTGTTGATTATCTTTGTAATGTTTATTCCAATTTTGTTTAAAATCTTCTTGTCGACTTTTTATTGGATGTAATTTATTAAAACTTATTGATTCTTGAATGTTTTCATGTAAAAATGTAACATCTTTTGAATTACTAGATCTTTTAGAATTAATTGAAATATTACAATGTATATTATTATCTTTATTTGTGGTGTCAGAATCAAAATTGTTTAATTGCATTATATATTTTGCTTTTAAGTTTTTTAGAATAATTTGACATTTTAGTTTACCATATTGCTGTAAAATTGAAGAGAATAAAATTGGCAGAAAATATATTACAAATATTAATGCAAACAAATGTAACTTTAAAAATTTAGTTGATATAAAACATTTATCCATTACATATTCTTGTATTATCTTTGATACAGTATCATTTTGATAAGTATTGATTTTAATATTTGATAATACATTTTGTTTATGGAAAATTGAATTATATTGAAAAATTTCTTTTGATAATTTTTTTATTCTTTTTGTTGCTTTTTATTAAGATGATTTTTATCTTTATGATAATTTTGTATATTTTGTTCAGAAATGTTATAAATACATTTAAATATATTAACATATATTTGATCATTTAATATAATTGATGTATTATATCTTTTAATTGTATTTATAAAATTATCTATAATGTCTTTACTTTTATTAAGACACATTTGTAATTCCTTAAAATTTAATTTTTTTGTGGCATTTATATTAATTCTATTGTTAGCAATTTTTTCCCTTAATAAATGTTTTGAAGAATTTGTTGTTAAATAATTAAACAATAATTCTTTTTTATCTTTTTCAATATAATTATTTACTTGCATATTGCTTTTAAAATTTGTATCATTTTTAATATTATTTATATCAAATTCACTTTCAACACTCTTATTTTCCTTTATAATTTTTCTATAAATATCTAGTTCAAAATATTTTGTTATATTTAAAAACTCAGAAACATTTTGAGAAATTATGTTGGAGGGAATAGTATATGTATCATTCATTGCAGAAAAAACAAGATTTTGTATTTTGGATATTATTTCATTTACTTGAGTAATATTAGAAGTTTTCATTAAATCTTCATTATTAATATAATCTTCATATAGTGGAGTTGTATATATTTCAAAATTAATATTCTGTGGCATATTTGTAAATTTTATATTATAATAACAATCATCAAGAAAAAGTATACTTTCACTAAAACATTTTTTATTTTCCATATCATTTGTAGGATTTATATCATATTCAGATAAATATAAAAGTCCAGTAACAATAATAGGCAAAATCCATTGATTTAAGACAAATATGACAATAAATTTTGTATCTTTTTTCATTTTATTACATTTGAATATATGTAAAATATTCTTCATATTTTTTTTTATTCTTGAAACTCTTTTCACTATTTTCACTATAGAATTAAATTTTATTTCAGTATTAAATTTATTTATATTAATATTTTCTTTATATATCATTTCTTCAGTTTGTAGTAATTTAAAATATTGATTTTTAAGATGAAATGCATTTAAATTGCATTGTACAGAAAATATTAACAAAGACACAAATGAATTTGTAAATGGAAAGAATAGCATTCCATATTTCATTATTATATTTATTATATTACACTGTGGAATCATGTTAAAGTTGTTTTGATTTATATTAATAGTATATTCCATAAATCTTTTAAATTTAATTTGTTGATTAAAATTAGCATCTTCTATATTCCATGTACTTTCATTTATTGGAAAGACTTTATTATTCACTTTATTGTGATTCAAATAAGTAATACGTATCATTAAATTTGTAAATATTATACTTGATGTAAATATAGAAAATAATACATCAGATAGTGACAAAATATATAATGGTGTATTCCTCCATTCTTTAAATTGTCTTTTTAATAAAACTATAATAGTAAAAACACTGGATAATAATAACATGTACGTAGATATATTGAGTATTATGTAATACATCTTATGTATGTATAAATTTTTTATGATTTAACGTGCACTTGTGTTATGTTATATGCAATAAAATTTTAAAAATTATAACTATTTACTTGTATACTTTGTGCAATTTAAAAAGATACTATTTAGAAATGCTATTGAATAGAGAAGCATGGTATTTTATTTTAATATATAGTACGTTAAACATGAGGCTATCTCAACAACTGTTACATTTTAGATATGATAAATATTGTAACATGAGGGTATATTGATTACTTATATAATAACAAATGTTGATATGAAAAATGTTGGTATGAAAAATGTTGATATTTTATTTCTAATATTCTTATATATAAACTATATTTATATAATAAGTTTTAATAAAATAATTTATTCTATTCTAATAATTTAGAATAATATATTCTGACAAAATATTTTTTTATTATAATTTAAAGTTGTTAATTTCTTAAAAACAACATACAAGATTAATATTCTTTTGATATTTGTTTTAGTGTTTACTTATCATCATGTCGATTCGTCGTAAAACTGATCCTCTTATGATACAACGAATATGGGATGCTATCAAAATAACTGTACATCAAAGAAGTTTACCAAGCAATGATCGTATGGTACGACATTTAGCTCGAGTTTATGGAATTACAGAACAAGAGGCACAAGAGGAATTAAATAAAGCTGTTGATGATGGACTTGTTTACTTAAAAAAAGTACCAACAAAAAATGGTATAGAACAAGAAAGTTATAGATTACCATCTGATATTATACCTAATGATGGTCACGATTGGTACTGTTATAAATGTCAAAAAGCAGGAACAGTGGAATGTTGTCAACAATGTCACAGAGTTTATCATCCTGAATGCCATATGCTCAATAATGTTAAATTGAAAATATGTAATTTCTGTGAAGTAAGTATAATTGTATATTGAATTGAAAAATGAAATTTAAAATTTTATATTGATATATATATATTGATAAAATATGGAAATAATTTTTACAGAGCATAAATAATGATACATACCCAGATAAAATTGATCTCAATCATATTCTAAGTTTTACTTGCGGACACTTGAAAGCAAAATTACCACCAGAAATTACAAACCGTACTATTGTTTTTAACAATGATCCTATTGTTACACCAGCTAATAGATATTCAGGTACAACTTGGATTAGTGAAGGGGAAGATGCATGGCGACCAGGTGTTCTCATAAAACACCATATGGATTTAGCTATTATGGATACAAAAATTAAGAAGAATGAGTACAATAATTTGGCTGAATTTCAAGCTGATGCACATAATATTTTACACAATATTATTGTATATCATGGAAGTACGTATACACATGCGCACGCGCATATATACACAACAAATATAAATTATTTATAATTTAAAAATTTAATTATGATTTATAATTTTAATTCAAATATTTATTTAGCACATAGTATAATTGGAGAAATGGGTCATACAATGTATCAAGATTGCTGTTATGATCTTCAAGAAATTCGTCGTTGTGCTGACTGC